GGGGAACATCTAGCTCAATTGGCATAACACAGTTTATAATGTTCTACATTCTACCTTGGCGATTATTTTTATTTTTGAAAAGGTAACTGTATTCAACTTTGCCGAATTGTAGAGAATTAGGGCAATCTTAGAGGTGACTGCACTATATAGGATCGATGGCATCTGGTCCCAGTTTGAAGAAATTGACAAAGCCGACCAAACGCATCCTTGAGCTGTGTGGTGACATGGTGCCATGGGAGCCCAGAGAGGGGGCGGGGGATTCTGAGGGGCAGACTCAGGGAATCTTCTAGAGAAAGCCAGCCTGGCCTGAATTTCTGATGTTTCAGAGTGTTTCCTGTAGTTTGGGAAGTAAGGAGAGAGAGGAAGAGTCTTTTCCCTTACCTGACGAATAAACGCATGTCTAGTTCAGTAAACTGGCAAAAAGTTAGTAAACACAAAAAAACAAAAAACCAAACCTGTTGCCGTTGAGTCAATTCTGACTCACGGTGAGATCGCATGTGTTACAGAGTAGAACTGTGCTCCACAGGGTTTTCTTGGCTGTACTCTTTATGGAAGCAACTCGCCAGGCTTTTCTTTCGTGGTACTGCTGGCTGGGTTTGAACTTCCAACCTTCAGGTTAGTAGCTGAGCACAAACCATTGCTTCTCAGAGTGTGGTCCCTGGAGCAGCAGCATCAGCTTCACCTGGGAACTTGTGAGCAATGCACATTCCCAGGCTCTGCCCCAGCTCTCCAACCCGAAACCCTAACCAGCCCTCAGGCGACGCTAGAACCACTGGTGAAGAGGCCTGTTGCTGCATCAGCAAGGGAGTGTGCGAGCTCACCTGGGCGGAGACATTTGAATGCCGGCTTTCTTGGAGAAATTGCAGCGTTCTTGTCACCAGCAGCCCAGGGAGGGGGGCACTCAGCTGCAGGTCTTCTAATTCCCGCTGTGATGATGCGCTTCCTTGTGGCAGTCTGTGAATCTGTTTATGAAGACCCTGGAGAAGGGGGTGCCATGACCTACTTGAGTGTCAGAGAGAGAGGTACTCACACATTGCTTCTGATCTCTTTTTTTTTTTAATTGTTTTTTAAATTGTGGACTTAAAAAAAAAAATTGTGGCACACACTGCTTTTAAAGTCCCGCTCGTGATGTCTGACATCACCAAGATGGAAAATGAGACACGTGGCAGCAACAAACTTGGGTTGGGAGATGGCTGAGTCGGAACCCCGCACCCTGGGAGCAGACAGCAATGAAGACGGAAGAGCAGAAGAAAAGTTATAAAAATGTTTAGTCTTTGCTTTATTGAGTTACAACAAATGAATAACAAGTTAGAAAAACGGGTTTTATTCAAACTCCCTAGCATTTTATTTTGTGCAGTGTACTCAAGGGCGGGGGCGGGGGGGGGAGACTGCAAAAAAAATTCATATTGCAACATTTACACCAGATATGTCTCTTGGCTTTTCTTCTTTAAAAGTTAGGACTAACTGGAAAAAAAAAAAAAAAAAGTGCACTCAGGAATCTAAAATTGGCCCAAAAACAAACACACAAACAAACAAAAAAAATCAATTCATGGTGAGGCTTCAAGCTGAAATCTTGTCAACTACCCCGCGGAGAAAAGGCAGTTAAGAACAGAAATAAAAGCCAAAGCTGTTCATCATTGTGCCATCTAGATATGAAGATCTTCTTTTTTTCTGTTTTAATTTCATAAAAGCAGTAATAATAATGCTAACAAACATAGAAGCCCTTTCTGCTGGTATTTGAGGAAGTGCTAATAGATGGCAGCCGTCTGCTGCTACTCAGTCCTCCCAACGCTGGCTGGGCCCGAGGCCTAAGAGGCCAAAAAAACCCCAAACCGGTTGCTGTTGACTCATGGTGACCTCATGTGTGCAGAGCAGAACTGTGCTCCATAGGGTGTTCAAGGCTGTGACTTTTTGGAAGCAGATCACCAGGCCTGTCTTCTGAGGCACCTCTGGGTGGGTCTGAGCTGCCAGCCTTTAGGTTACTAGTTGAGTGCTTAACTGATTGCACCACCCAGGGACTCCACCTAAGAGGCCAAGTAGCTCAGAAAACCTGGTACCTGGCTAAGGCAGGGGCCCCAAAGGCAGCTAGGGGGAGAACTAGAAACGGATTTCATCTGGACGCTCTGCCATCCATCAGCCCTCTCTCCAGGGGGAAACAGAGGCCCGAATCCCAGCCCTCCCCACTGAGAAATCTCCAAATTTCAAGCTACCTTTAAAAATGAATTCTCCTACCAAAAATCTGGAAGAGATAATGGCACTAATGCTAACCTCCAAAAAATAACAATAATAAAATTAAGAAAAACAAAAGGAGAAAAGAGAAAAGCGCCATGTGATCAGCCCTCCCTCCTGGAAAAAGACTTACAATGGTAGTGCTGGAAGAGGAAGTTGCCCTTGGTTAAAAAGGTAACAAAATTCCCATTGTACAAATCGGTTCCAGTATAGCAAGAGGCGGGGGCCAGGACAGAGGCGCAAACTATTTACAGGGACCCATTGGAAACGCAGCAGTAGGACTTTGGCACTATGAACAGTTCCCACCCACCCTCCAGGCACACACGGGCTAAGTAGTTACACTGGGAGTCACTGGTGAGGGCGCCCCGTGGTGGGCAGGAGAGGGAGGTTCTCTGCTTCCTTCCAAGACAGAGCGTCCTTCAACAGCACAGCAGTTCTGACAGATGTCCCTGGAAGGAGAACACAGAAGCAGAGAGAGAAGTCAGAGAGATGACCATCATTCCTTAGGGGGGAAGGTGTCTGTGGTTGCTTCTTCCTGGTTCTCCTGGGGAGGGCCCCTTCCAAGGCCATCTGGGGCCTGGAGGAGAGACAAACGCCCTTCAAGTTTGGGGCCTGAGCACAGTCTGATGTTAGGGGAAGTGCCTCCAGAACCAGGCCTTTGAAAACTGGATGACTTTCTAGGCAAGTTAAGGTGGTGGCCTGTATATATACATATATATTTTCCATCATTTACAAGACCTTTTCATTATTCGTGGAGAGGCAGCCAGTCATAGTGGATCCAAACAGGCACTGGAGTTGGACAAACCTGGATTTGGGCTCTAGCTTTCCCACTTACTGGCTGTGGGGCCTTCTGTGCATGACTTACTCTGTGTAGGCCTCAGTTTTTGCTTCAGTTTGTTGTGAAGACGAAATGAATTGATCTTTGTCAGCATTTGGGATGGTGTCGGGCACCTGGTAAGTGCTATACATGCTTTGGCTATTTTTGTTAGATGGAGCCTCTTCCAAGCACACTAGGATATACAATAGTAATGAGACATTTTAAGGGAATTTTTAATTTCATATTTATATCAACCCTGAGAGGTGTAGAGATACTAGCACCATCCCCATTTTACAGGTGAGGAAACTGAGGCACAGAGAGGCTAAATAGCTTTCTCAAGAACACACAGGTAGTAAGAGGCAGAAGTAGGATTTGAACTCAGGCAATCTGACTCCAGAGTCTGTGCTCTTAATAAACAAACAGTATTTATGAAGAGTGAATGTGGAGAGATGCTTAACTCTGATCTACTTTAAAGTAATGAAAATAGTCCAAGGACCTCCATTATTACCTGCGTGGGCTCCTGGGATCCAGAGATCTACCAACAGCTAGAGGTTTATCAAATCTGGAGATTCCTGAGGCCATGGGCTTTTTCTCTGCCTCCCTGTTAGTAAGGCCATGTCACTGCTCAGCCATTTCTCTGGCTGAGAAAATTGCCGAGAAGGCCTGGAGCTGTGTGTTTTGCACAGGGGACCAAGAGCCAGGAGACTAGAATTCTCAGGCACAGGCACTGGCAGATCGTCTACACCGTCACTGGTTGCTGACGTGCGGATGTCAGACGTGCCCATGTTCCCCAGAAACCCGAGAGTGAGACTGAATACTGCAGTTAAGAAACCAACTTGTGCAAGAAATGTCTGGGGATGAAGCCAGACTTCATGGGTATCCTTGGGATCTGGTATCACCC